GGTCATGGTAACGGTAACAGTAATGCTAGAGGTAATGGTAGCGGTAATGGTAACGGTAATGGTAACATTAATGGTATCGGTAATGGTAATGGTTGCGGAGAGTCACTACACAACGGGAGTGGACTACGGAGGAGGGCACGGGGTTGTGCGAGTGATCGTAGCGTTCTAGTAGTGTTCTTACTGCTTGTTGTGTTCGCAGAGAAGTTTGGCAAGAGTTTCAACAGAAATTGAAAAAACCTTTGAACATTAGATTACAAATGAGGCATGCAAGTCGATATAGCTAGAATGGCACGCAACACCTACCAAGCCCTCTACAGGACGAATTGTGCCAGCGCAGCAGAAGAACGGCTTCTGCCAGCGCGACAGAAGAGTGGCTCGCCAATTCTGCAGGGCAGGGGAGAGAGGCGCGAGGAAGAAGGCATTGGGGAAAGGTGTGGGGGGGAGAGGCTCTGTGTTTGCTTGGTTGTTCATGTGTGTGTCTGGTCAAGAGGTTATATCAGAAAACACAGTGTATGCGGGATGCAAGCAGTGGGATGTGGCATGCTTACAGCTTCTGTAGGTTGGCATTCGACACAGAGATATCTGCTGAAACGGAACCCGTGAAAAGATTGTTGGAAAAAGAGCTGAAGAAAGAAGCACCTTCCCACGCCTGTGAATCCGCTCGCTTCTGGCCCTAATCCTTCCCCCTCTCCTCTGCCGCCTCTACCCCCTCTCCCTCCTATGCCGCCTCTGCCCCCTCTCCCTCCTCTGCCGCCTCTGCCCCTCTCCCCTTCTCTCACATGTGCCATGGGCAGTTTAGGGGAAACCATTGCCTCTCAGCTCCCTGTGGGGTGGGGGACAACTGGAACCAAGTCAGATACTGTGAGGTGCAGAGCGGTTTGATGTAGTGCGGGGAGATGCGTGTGGTGAGATGAAGTGCAATGAGGTGCGGTTCGCATTGGATGCGGTGCTGTGAGGTGCAGTGCGGTGACACCAGCCAGAATTCTTTCTCTTGCCGCTGCTTCTGCCGCCCGCCCCCCACCATGCCCCCTGCGAACCCGTAACCTCCTGCCCACCACAACCCTTTCCCTTCACCCCCTCTTCGTTCCGCCCTTTCTCCCCCTGCCCCACCTCCAGCGGCGTCGGTGGGCAGCCGGGCCTTCTTCCTGTCAGCGGGGGCGGTGCACTGCAAGGCGCTACCTGCCTGTCCTGCTGCCCGCCATGTGAGCCAGCTGCTGGCCGCCAGAGCTGCTGTCCGCCATGCCATTCAACCATGCCATGCCATGCCATGCCACGCAGCACCACCATGCCACACCACTCTCCTGGGTGGTGAAGTGTGTAAATTACAGAGTTATAGAAGTGTTGTTGTGAGCATATTTCTTCTGGGAAGTGGTGTAGCATCCAGGTGGTGAAGTGTGTAGAAGAGTTGTTGTGAGCACTCTCCCCCCTCTGTTGAGCTCGCGCCACCCTAGAGCAGTGCCCTAGATATCAGACTTTTTACGCTGATTCAGCGTCCATTCAGACTTTTTTTAGGTACCAGGTCTGAACTGTAAGTTTTTTTTAATGTACCTTCTCTGATTTGTCAGAGTTTTTTTTCATGTAGTGGCTGAAATTTCAGACGAAATGTAGGGGTGTAGGCTGAGCCTCAGCCTTGTTTCGGGGGTGCACTCTGAAACGGGTACTGCAGGGTTCTGTCAGCCTGGCGGCGTGTTTGCACTAACACCGTCAATCACGGGCGGGAAACGGAACATTTCCCGAGCGTGGCACCGCATCGCACAGTCGCGTTGGGCCAGGAATGCTGTAATCTGGCTCAATTCCAGCCAATCGCGGCAACGCAGCAGGCAGTGTTGGCAAGATTCCTTGCCAACGCATAGCTTGCACCCGGACAACACCACAACCACCCACCACCCACCACCGTCCACCGTGCCAACGCATAGCTCGCAGCGCGCTGCAGCTCTCACGTGACCACATCCATCCACCCCAGTCACCCCACCTTCCCTGCACCCACGACCAGGTGCCGTGCATGCAGTGCAGTGACCAGCAGGGAGATGAGCGGTCCAAATACGAGGACCCCTCATCTTCCTCATCGTCGCCCTTCGTGGGGGTCACTCCGTGCCTTGTCTCTCTCGCTTCATTCAATTTCTTCGCCAGATAGTATTGCTGGAACCCTTGTTTCTGACTCTCCCTCGCTCTCGCAAAACCAGTGCTCGGCAGACTCATGGCAGCCACAGGCGCTGCCGCCGAATCGCCCGACGATGATGACGAGACAGATCGACGGCCTGCGTCAGACGCAGTGACCGGCCTGGACTTTCTACGAGCATGCTTGCCGACGCATGTCCCACCGACTACTCCACCGTCGCAACCTAGCTCTAGCCGTCCTCCAGTTTCCGTTCAACCTGAACCTGTCCCCACAGCCGTCATTGAACCGGTCGAAGCTGCACCACAGTCTGTGCCCAATGAGGCGTCCGCTGAAGCACCGTCCCGTCCCGCACCACCGTCGAAAATGCGTTACCGTCAGACCACGTTTCCGTGGGCAACTCCTCCTCCTCCATCGACCGTTGAAGCTCCAGCGAGAGTCGAATCTCCCATGCAGGGCAGCTCAAAGCCCACCGACAAGTCTGACTGCGATAAGTTGGAGTTGAAATACGAAGATGCACACTTTCGTTTTAAAACAAAGTGGTCTAGCGATTACGACTGGCTTATAACAAAAACCTCTACCGGTGCCCCAAGTTTTAAGTGCAGCATATGCCTGGAGTTTGCAGGACTTACAGGCAAGTGTGGACGGGGTGGTGAGGGCGCGACCGACGTGCAGACGCAGGCCTTCAAGAAGCATGAAGGCATGGTGAAGCATCGTTTTGCACTGAAGCGGCAGGAGGACCTCCTCTAGAAGTATGGCGATCAGCATCGCATCGACCTACACCCGAAAGCGCAGGACAAGGAGATGTTGCAAATCTCGGCGCTAGTGGAGTCGCTGTACTTCATGAGCTCGTGCAACGAGCCCATGGACGCTTGGATTCGGCTTGTGCGCTATCTCGCGAAGAAGAAGGTGCCCGGCTTTCCAGAGCAGGGCTACGGCACGTACTACAACACGTAAGTTTCTGGCGGTTGTAACCACCGAATCGTTGATTTCTTCTAACTCTCAGTCGCTAACTATCTCTGGTCCGTTTTTTTTAATACAGGTATGGCTTCGGAGAGTTAACACAGGCAATTTCAACATGGCTCCAAACAACACAGCAGGAACACCTTCTGACGAGCCCCTTCATCGGGATCACCCTGGACGAGAGCACAGACCGGCGGCGCGGCAAACACATGATCGTGTTTGCAACCTTCCTGCGCGACAAGCAAGTTGTGACTGAGTTCTTTGCTCACCTCACGGTTGAGAAAGCTGACGCTGCATCCCTGTGTAGTTTGCTCCTCTCCCACATCAGGGCTGTCGGCGTGGACCTCCGCCGTATTTCGGGAGTGAGCACGGACGGCGCGATGGTGATGGTGGGAGTCCACACCGGTGTGGTGGCTCGTCTTCGGATGCTCATCCCCAACCTGGTTTCGTTCCACTGCATCGCTCACAGGTGCGTTGTTGTTGTTTTATTGTTTGTTTAGTCGTTTAACAGTAACATACGATGCTAATCATGCTTGTTCGTACGTCTTGCAGGGAGGCATTGGCTGCCAAAGCCGCTGCAGAGTCTATACCCTCTTTCAACATGGTGGACGACGTCATCCGTGCTGTCGCTGAGTACCTGGGGCGATCATCACCGTGGCATCAACGGTTCATGGAGCTGCATGAGGTTTTTACCTCCACCAACCTCGAGGTGCAGGGGATCCACGAGGTGCGGTGGCTTTCAAGGGGTGCTGCGGTCGCCCGCTTCGTCGAGGTCCTCCCAGCCATCATGGTGATGCTGTCAGAGTGGAAGGACCAGACGATGTTCGAGCTCGTCACGTCCTACCGTTTTCAGTTTCTGCTTCGGTTCCTCGCGGACGTTCTGGACCTCCTCAACATCCTCTCGAAGGTTTTCCAGCATTGTGAGGTAAGAAACTAGAGTGACCTTCTGTTTTTTTTAGGCCGGAATCCGTGCTCTAACTAAAACTTCGTATGATGTGGCAGCTCGACTACCCATTGGTGCACACACAGATTGTGCGCACAACATCTCTACTGGAGAGTCGGTACATCGACTGCGGAGATGACTTCGGCGGCGGGCCTAACGAGCGCCTTCATCGATTCATCGAGAAGCATGGGCCGCAGGGGACACCAGAGATGGTGGAAGGCGCGTCGTCGGATGGGAGTCTCAACCGCTTCAAGATCACCCTTCACGAGCTTCGAGTGGCGAACTATCTCGGGGCGGGCCATCGCGATGCGTGTGTGGCGCTCTGCACTGACTTTGCCGAGGGCCTCGTCGAGGAGCTTCAGTCTAAGCTCGGAGACCTCGACTCTCTGTCTGGCGTGCGGCTATTCATACCTGATGAGTGGCCTCCGAATTGGGAGAGGAGTGCACGGCAGGCACAGTGCCTTGAGTGGCTGTTGTCGCTAGTCACTCTGTTCCGCGCCGACGACTGCGAAGAGATTTTGCCAGGTCAGTTTATGGAAGTGAGGCTCGTTCGACTGTTGGCTTCTAGGGGTTGAAATTGTGATTGAGCGTGTGGTGGTGAGTCAACCTGTGCCTGAATGACGTGGATTGAACTCCACACGCAGTACGGAAGTTGTTTCAACCAAAATTGACAACGCTCAGTGGAGCTTAAGACAGAATACAGGTGTTTTTGTATGTCATTATTTACCAGTACCATAACACCTACCGGTAGATGCAAGCTTACAAGTTACAACCCCTCCATCACCATAATTGAACCCCCACCCTTCCCCCATAATTGAACATCTGATTTCATGCCTGCTGGGTCCTTGTACAACACCCAAATTTTTGTTTCCGGGGTTAGATTTAAGGTTGCGATCTTAGAATTGAGAAGTTCTTGTGCATTGCAGCATCAGACCACCCGAGTGAACTTGGTACAGAACTCTAGCGAATGCGAATGCATCACACATTACAGTGCTCTACTGTGCGTGAGGCTGGGTAGTAGGCAGTGAAGGTGCCATCGAGGGAGAAGGAGCCGGGGTTGATGCACGTGACGCCATTCACCACAGCGCTGCTCTGCCCTGATGAGTCTGCCAGAATTAGCTGATCGGCATGGAACGGGAGATAAGGGAGTGTCTCACATAGGAGGGGGCAGAGGAGGGCGTCTGGCGAAGGTGCCAAAGCTGGATGGGTGGCAACAGATCAGAGATCCTGAATGGGTCTAAATGACCGATACCAGAATGATCAAGGATGAATGGTAAAGCATGGCATGCTTGTGGGTTGACGAGTTATGTGGAGAAGGGGATAGCGTGCAGATAGCAGCACAGTAACACAAGACAGAACGAGACTGCAAGTGGCAAATCAAATATGACATCGATTCAAACAGGAGGGAATGAAGCAACGGATCACGTGAGGCGCCAGCATACCACGTGGGGAGCGGGGAAGAGGTGCAGAGTGAAGTCATAGTCCCAGAACACGGGCTGGGCGGCCAGAGGCAGCGGGCTCAGATGCGCCTGGTGCACCACCGTGGTCGCCACCTGCCGCCCGGGGGGCACAGCGGCACACAGGCAGGGATGCGCATGCAGTGCACAGGGCGAGGGCAGGGATTGGCAGCTGTGGCTGGCTCGAGCAAATATAAGAGGGAGGGCACCTACTTGAAGCGCAATACGCGTGGGTGAATGCCCTAGACTCGTGAGCTTCCAACGAGAGGAGCGCTAGGCCATGGCAAGAGGAGCGGGCGTGAGAGGGTGCATGTGACTGACATGGGTGAAGGGGTCGGCGGTGTCTTTGCGTGGTGGCAGCACGGCGCAGCGCTGCATGCGGCGCTGCAGGTCCGCCCTGAGCACCACCAGCTCCTGCGCATAGAACTTGAGGCTGGCGTTGAGAGGGGGGGGAGGGGTAGAGGGGGGAGGTGGGGAGTGAGACAGGGACAGGGGGAGGGAGGGAGGGAGAGGGAGCGGGAGTTTGGGAAAGGGGGCGGGATAGAGGGAGAGGGGGCGGGAGGGAGGGAGAGGGGGCGGGAGGGAGGGAGAGGGGGCGGGAGGGAGGGAGAGGGGGCGGGAGGGAGGGAGAGGGGGCAGGAGGGAGGGAGAGGGTGCGGGAGGGAGGGAGAGGGGGCAGAGGGAGGGAGAGGGGGCGGGAGGAAGGGAGAGGGGGCGGGAGGGAGGGAGAGGGGGCAGGGAGGAGAGCACCAGGAGAAAATGAGAAGCCTCAGGAGAAATCAAATTGGCCAAATTGCGAGCGAGGGTACGAGCCAACGGCAAAGGAAGGACAGGCAGAGAGAAAGTAATGGGGATGTCCACGTGCGTCAAGTCTGCATATATCCTAAAATCATGTGTCAAAGAAAAACCCGAGGGTGTCAAAGAACGAAGTGAGGGAAGCGGGACGAGGTGGGGAGTACGCACAAGGGGGCAGGGCAGGAAAGGGGGGGGGGTGGGGAAGGGGTGCACCGCGAGGGGTTGGAGGAGAAGACAGCAGAGGGGAGGGCGTCAGTGATGGGTTCTATGAAGAAGCGCGGCAGCGCGGGCCGTGGCAGCACCGCGCATGGGCCTGGGGGCAGGCACACGGGGTTAGGGGTACGGGCAGGTGGAGCAGTGTGGGGAAGAGAGCAGAAAGATGGTGATATGGTGCACTGTGCTGTGTTTTCAAAAATTCAGAGGCTGCTCTGGGGTGGCTTCTCGGGGTGTTTTCCTCAAGATCATCACCTCTGATGCTCTTGCAGTAAGCCTTTGTGCCTCTAAAGAGCAACTTCTCATGTGACTTGACAGGCCCTTTGGGCAGAAGAAGAGAGGCGAGGGCAGGAGATGGCAAGGGAGGCAGGAGGGGAAGAAGGTAACCACCTGGGTCGGCCTGGCCAGGCACAAAGACGAAGAGCGACTTGTCCTTGAGGCGGCGGTGCGCGCCTATCACCCTCGCCAGCTGTGAGAAGGCCTCCCTGGGCGGGGAAGCAGGAGCGGGTGAAAAGAGGGGAAGGACGGGTGCAGGAATAGTTGGTGTGGGGGCATAAAGGGAAGTGGGGTAAGAAGGGGCGTGAGTTGTGAGGGGGAGAAGGAAGAGAAGGGAGTGCAGAGCGATGCGTAATGCACAGAAGAATAATCGCCCGTGTGCAAGGAGCTACTTATGCAAGAGAAGAAAGTAAAGGCAGCAGAGGCAGCAGGCACCTGTGAGCGTGCAGGTGCGGGGAAGCGAGGGCGGAGGGCGGGGAGCAGAAGTCCCCAATGAGCAGAAAGAGGCGCGGTGGCTCGTCCAGGGCGTTGTACGCCCCCAGCACCGTGGCCAGGCGCGATAGGGTCTGCCGGTCACACATGCAGAGGTGGTGCAGGGGAGAAGGCAAAGGGAGACAGCAAGGGGAGACAGCAAGGGAGGCATCCCGGGTGAATGGGAGGGAGGAGAAGAGGCGCGGCGGGTCGTTTACGGCATCGTATGCTCCCAGCAGCGTGGCCAGGCGAGACAGGGTCTGCCGAAGCACATCCATGCAGAGGTGGTGCAGGGGAGAGAGCAAAGGGCACTTCCGGGGTGAATGGGAGGGAGGTGGGAAATTAAAAACTGGGAAATCCCAGCTGTGAAAGCGTAAACTCCAGAAGTGCAACATCTTGTCACAATTCACTGCATGTCAGAGAAGCGTGATGGAGGAGTGACCTTGGGGTGGTGCAGGGCGATGTGTGCCATGGCGATGTGTGCCATGGCGATGTGTGCCATGGCGATGGAGTGAGGAGTGAGGAGGGAGGAGGGAGGAGGGAGGAGTGACCTGGGGGTCATGCAGGGCAATGTCCGCCATGACGATGAACATGTGCCCCTCCGCCACTCCCTCTGCCTCGCGCTGCTGCACCCACGCCTGCTCATGCGGTGGGGCAGGGGGTGCGATCGACACAGGAGGGAGAGGGGAGCGTGATGACGAGAGAAGAGCACTGGAGCGAGATGGAAGAAATGGTGGGGAAGTGTGTGGTGAATGAGGAGAGGGCGGCAGCAGCAGAATGGAAGGGAGGGGGCGAGTCAGATGAGAAAAAGTGCGGCGTGCAGAGGGTGCAGTGGTGTGGCAGAAAGCGGAGGGAGGCACAATGGCAGAGGAGCGGCCAAAAGCCGAATCCGCATGCCCCAAGTTCCCAGGTTTATGGGCAAACATCCATCCTCACACGCACACACCCTTGCTGAGATGCACGCACCCAATGGTGCTAGAAGATCGGGGGTGGGGGGGGGTTGTGGGGGGGGTGGTGACACGCACGTAGCGGTGGGCGTCGATGGGCCCGGCGCCGAACAGGTCCAGCCCCTCCGCCAGGGACAGCGCCTCCTCCCGTGGCTCCACCGGGGGGAACTCCAGCGAGGCCACCTGGGGGGGGACAGGCAACAAGTAGGGCGCAGGGGGATTGACGTTTGAGCGCTCAGATGGAACGCAGTTTATGATTTAGGGTTGGGATGTGTTCAGATCTCGTGATATGGTTTGAATTGGAGTGGGATGTGGTGGAGTGGGGTGCCATTGAAGATGTTACATCACGCAAGGATGGAACGGGAAGAGAGGATGCGGTAGAGAGAAGGAAGGAATGGGAGGGAGAGAAAGAAATAGGGGAGGGGAAATGGGGAAAGGGGCGGGAGAGAGAGGCAGAGAGCGCGCACGTTGAAGCAGCCGGAGGGAGTGAGGTGGCCCGAGGCAATGACGACTGAATTCTCGGTGAAGTAGCCCGGCGATGCCGTGCAGTGCCGTGCCGCACACGCGCGGTCACACGGAGGGGGTGGTCGAGATGGGTTCACAGGGAGACAACGAGGGAGACGAGGAAAGAGGAAAGGAGATGGGAGAGACAAAGGGATAGGGGGCGAGAGAGGAGAGATGCGTAGAAGCCAGGTCAAGGAAAATACATTGTGGAAATCAATTGCTTGGTGTGAGTGTGCGTGTGTGGAGAGGTTGAGAGTGAGGTGGTACGTCCGGAAGTGAGTGTGGTGAGAGTGGAGGGAGGGAGGGGAGGGCGGATATGGCATGGGTCAGGTCGAGCGGCAGCGAGGCGGAGAGGTCTTCAAGGAAGAAGCGGCCGTCCTCCAGCTGTGCCACCACGCCCACCACGTGATGCCGCCTCTGCTGCGACGCCGCTGTGCCGCCCACCAGCGCCTGCACTGGCGTTAGCTGCACCAGGGGCGAGGAACAGTGGACAGTGAGGGGGGGCGAGAAAAGCAGGGGATTTGCAAGGGAGCAAGAGGGCTAGAAAGGTAAAAGGAGAGGTGTGGGAGAAAGGGAGGGAGAAACGTGTGGGTGCTGACTTGAAAAGAGGTCGTTGGATGGGCAATGGAAGCACGGAAAACACAGTGGAAGAAAGAAACGAGTGTTGGAAAGACTCCCAAAGCTCTCGTTTCCTCCCTTCTTCACCCACAGGACCTGTTCCCCCTGCTACATGGCATGGCACCTCACCTCGGTGTACTGCTCCTGCTGCTGCTGCGCGGAGCCCAGAGGCAGCAGCGGCACGGCGAAGCGGCGGTGGCGGGCAGTGCGCGCCAGCAGCAGGTGCAGGCGGCGCCGCAGCACGTCCGCCTTGCTGCTCGGCGCCCCCGCCAGGGACAGCGCGCCCCGGTGCCTGCATGCAATGCACGTGGGGTTGGGGGCCCGGGGGAGGACAGGGGATGGGGGCCACGTGGGATCAAGAACAATTTCAAAAACAAAGAATAAGGAAGGGAGCTGTGGTGCAGTGCTGTGCATGGTGGTGGAGGAACGGTGTGAGTTTGCATGTGAAGGTGCTTGAGAAGGAGCAGCAACAGTTTGGACTTGTGGCGGCCATTGGCCACGCGGTGCCATGCGAGCACAGGAGCAAGGTGAGTGTGGGGAGGGGTGACAGGCGGGGTGGGGAAGAGACAGCGGGTGACGGGAAAGGGGTGAGAAGGCAGGAACGGGAGGGGGGAGAAGGGGAAGGCGACGAGGAGGAGAGGAAGCATGGCATTCCGATCGCTACGCCTGGCGACGAGGAGGAGAGGAAGCATGGCATTCCGATCGCTACGCCTGGCGACGAGGAGGAGAGGAAGCATGGCATTCCGATCGCTACGCCTGGCGACGAGGAGGAGAGGAAGCATGGCATTCCGATCGCTACGCCTGGCGACGAGGAGGAGAGGAAGCATGGCATTCCGATCGCTACGCCTGGCGACGAGGAGGAGAGGAAGCATGGCATTCCGATCGCTACGCCTGGCGACGAGGAGGAGAGGAAGCATGGCATTCCGATCGCTACGCCTGGCGACGAGGAGGAGAGGAAGCATGGCATTCCGATCGCTACGCCTGGCGACGAGGAGGAGAGGAAGCATGGCATTCCGATCGCTACGCCTGGCGACGAGGAGGAGAGGAAGCATGGCATTCCGATCGCTACGCCTGGCGACGAGGAGGAGAGGAAGCATGGCATTCCGATCGCTACGCCTGGCGACGAGGAGGAGAGGAAGCATGGCATTCCGATCGCTACGCCTGGCGACGAGGAGGAGAGGAAGCATGGCATTCCGATCGCTACGCCTGGCGACGAGGAGGAGAGGAAGCATGGCATTCCGATCGCTACGCCTGGCGACGAGGAGGAGAGGAAGCATGGCATTCCGATCGCTACGCCTGGCGACGAGGAGGAGAGGAAGCATGGCATTCCGATCGCTACGCCTGGCGACGAGGAGGAGAGGAAGCATGGCATTCCGATCGCTACGCCTGGCGACGAGGAGGAGAGGAAGCATGGCATTCCGATCGCTACGCCTGGCGACGAGGAGGAGAGGAAGCATGGCATTCCGATCGCTACGCCTGGCGACGAGGAGGAGAGGAAGCATGGCATTCCGATCGCTACGCCTGGCGACGAGGAGGAGAGGAAGCATGGCATTCCGATCGCTACGCCTGGCGACGAGGAGGAGAGGAAGCATGGCATTCCGATCGCTACGCCTGGCGACGAGGAGGAGAGGAAGCATGGCATTCCGATCGCTACGCCTGGCGACGAGGAGGAGAGGAAGCATGGCATTCCGATCGCTACGCCTGGCGACGAGGAGGAGAGGAAGCATGGCATTCCGATCGCTACGCCTGGCGACGAGGAGGAGAGGAAGCATGGCATTCCGATCGCTACGCCTGGCGACGAGGAGGAGAGGAAGCATGGCATTCCGATCGCTACGCCTGGCGACGAGGAGGAGAGGAAGCATGGCATTCCGATCGCTACGCCTGGCGACGAGGAGGAGAGGAAGCATGGCATTCCGATCGCTACGCCTGGCGACGAGGAGGAGAGGAAGCATGGCATTCCGATCGCTACGCCTGGCGACGAGGAGGAGAGGAAGCATGGCATTCCGATCGCTACGCCTGGCGACGAGGAGGAGAGGAAGCATGGCATTCCGATCGCTACGCCTGGCGACGAGGAGGAGAGGAAGCATGGCATTCCGATCGCTACGCCTGGCGACGAGGAGGAGAGGAAGCATGGCATTCCGATCGCTACGCCTGGCGACGAGGAGGAGAGGAAGCATGGCATTCCGATCGCTACGCCTGGCGACGAGGAGGAGAGGAAGCATGGCATTCCGATCGCTACGCCTGGCGACGAGGAGGAGAGGAAGCATGGCATTCCGATCGCTACGCCTGCGCCCTTCACGTCCTCTCTCCTCCCTCCCACGGCCACACCCACTCAAACTGTCCCGCCCTCGCGTCCTCACACACGCCCAACTCACCCACGGCCACCACACACACACGGTCAGCTTAGGGGCGGGGGAAGCAGGGAGGGTTGACCTGGAGAAGTGTTTGCGGAGGGGGTCATAGTCCACACGTGGCATGGTGAAGGCGTCGATCACCACCAGCGCGCGCCACTCGCGCATCCACCCCTCCACACCCTCCCCCCGCCCCCCCTCCATCACCTCCCCCGCTCCCCCGTTCCTCCCCACGCCCCCCAGCGCATCTGGCCGCGCGCCCCCCCCTGCGTGCTCGCCGCGGCTGCTTCCGCCTGCAGTTCCCCCCGCATCAGCAGGGGGGGCGCGGGAGCGCGCGCGGAGGGGCTGCAGAAGGACCTGGCGGACCACGTCGCGCGACACCACCTGCACGCCCACTGCCGTTGCGGGCGAGGGGCGAGGGGCGAGGAAAGAGGGGCAAGAGGAAAGAGAGGTGAGGCGACGCCGTGAACAGGCGTCGGACCAGAGACTGACGGCTAAGCCTCGTTCTCGCTCCCCATCCTCCTCGCTCCCCATCCTCCTCGTCCCCATCCTCCTCGCTCCCCATCCTCCTCGTTCCCCATCCTCCTCGCTCCCGCCTGCCGCTCCACACGTTCCGGCGCAAACCGCGCCGTCCACGGGCACTGACGCGCCAACCATCATAACTATGCGCCACTCTCACAGACCAGACCCACACGCTCACTACGAATCCCTCCTCTGTCGCCCCACGCTCGCATCCACCAATCTATCCGCGATCATCCCCATTCTCCGCTAACTTATTGCGCATTGAGCGGCGTACGTTCGACTTTGAGGCGCCTCAAACCAATTCCCCGCTAGCTGGCGCGCGCAGTAGGCGGCGTACGTTCGAGCGCGGTGATGCCGCGGAGCAGGTCGTCGACGGCCTGTTGCTCGCTGCACCCCGCCTCCAGCACGAACTCCACCACGCTCTGCAGCGCCGCGCGATCCACCGTCACCCCGCGCAGCTGCAGCTGCTGCTGCAACCGCCGCATCGCACGCAGCTCCTGGCTCATCGTGGCCGTCGATCGGACTGGACGGGGACTGACGGCAAGAATATTCGGGTTGTTCACCGCTGCTCTACCATCTACCGACCTAAGGTGTAACCCTCGCGGTGGTAAGCCAATGCTAGGGGCGGCGGAAATGAAAAGCTATTCACTTGATCATAGATGACATCGGTTGCTCCTACGGCATGGTTAGTTACTAGATGTGGGCGCGGCGCAACTTGGAGTGAGCCAGATCGCAGCACAGATTTGAGGGCTGAAACGCCAAACAAGGGGCTGCTTTTGACGAGTCACTTTCGAGGTGTTTGCAAATGGGCTGCCACAAGCTTCCGTACACTTCGCGCATTTCACCTTTCTTTTTTAAAAGCTTTCTAATCATAAAGATAGTAGTTCTATCAAATATAAGCTGGAGGCTATTGGAGAACCATAGGTCCATAGTCGCCAATATCGCCATTAAATCACGGAAACTTACTTCACTAAGTCTTTCACCGTGTTTCATCCTAGATTTGGTCAACTCCGTTTTAGATGTAGACTTGGGCCAACGAACTTAACATCATATTGCATGTGGTGTAGAAGGCTAAAAGCGAATAACGCATTGGTCATCCTCGTCACCAGCCTCGGTGTCACTCCGCATGTCTTGGAAGTGACGTCTGACGTGTACTCAGTTATGCGGTGGAGATGCGCGCTCCAGTCCCTACAATTGGTTCGCCGACAGCACAGCAGCGGTCGCCAGGTCGAAGTCACCATCTCGTGCGACCCCGAGCGACCAGCACTCTCGCACTCGGTCGTATCTCCAGCAAGTGTCAAGAAAGGCTTGGTGTCAAGCGTTGTTTACGGTTGACACCAAGTGGAGCCGCGTGTGAGCGCGGCTCCATCCTGGTGTCAATGTTGGGCACATTGGACGATTTCCCGCGATCTCATTGGTTGGTTTAGCTGACACCAGGGGGTAGCCCTCCATGTGTTTTCGAGTTGGTGTCATGACACTGGCCCCTCTTGACACTTGCTGGAGATACGACCTCAACGTCCAAAGCTTGTTGCGAGTCGTGAGTTGTCGTGACAGACACGGTCACACTCACACCACACCACCACCGCACATACACGACGAGCCTTCCCTTCCCCGTGCACTGACGTCACTTTCCTATTCCTCCTATCGCAGATCCTTTCCGCGAATCTCGAGACCGCACTTCTTGCTCGCCTTCGCGTCTTACCTCACAAGCCCTGGCGAGCCGGGAACCTTTCTCCCGCTGTGGCCTCCAAGTCGCTGCCGTGTTCACTCTCACAGCGTAGTCGCTCTAACATTATCGTCTATCGGACAGCTAATAGACTGCACAGAATAGTCGCCGTGTCAGCATAGGCGCGTGTCAGCATAGGCGCCGTGTCAGCATAGTCGCCGTGTCAGCATAGGCGCCGTGTCAGCATAGTCGCCGTGTCAGCATGATCGGCGACGGCAGCGCAGCGGCGATGGCGGCGGACCACCTGGCGGAGTCGCTGCACGCCGTCTCTCCCGACGCCACGGTCGCGCTCGCCGCCGGCCCCACGCCGGCGCTCGTGGCGCTCGTGTCGCTGGCGGTGCTCGTGTCGTCGCTCGCGCTCTTCGTGCTTCGCCATCGCGCCGCCTCGCTGTCCAAAGCACCAGTCGCCGCGGGGCCCGGCGGCGGCAGCAAGTACCAGCCGCTCGCTACAAAGGATGTAGCGGCGGTGGCGGCGACGAATGGCGAGGAGCGGAAGGGCGAGGGGGATAAGGCGGAGCGCGACGACTCGAAGGTGGCGATCGGCATTCTGTTCGGCACGCAGACGGGCACGTCCGAGGGATTCGCCAAGGTGGGCCGCGTGCACCGCGGGCGAGCCTGTTAGGGCGCGGCGCGCTTCTCGGGTTGCGCGGATGAGAGGCGCGGTTGGATGGGGTGGGTGGGAAGGCAGAGCGTGCGACGAGGGGGTTGCGTGGGCGGGCAGTGCGTGGCTGCGCGAGATGCCTTGCCCTCCCATGCTCCCGTTCTCGCTGTCTCACTTCCCCTCTCTGCCGCCGCAACCCACCTGCCGCCTCATCCCTTCCGCCCAATCACCCCTCCCTGCCGTTTCACCCTCCCCCCTGCCGCCTCAAGCCCCCCCACTCCCCCGGCCGCCTCACCATTTCCCCCTCTTTCCTCACCCGCAACCCGTGCCCCTCGTCGCCCTTACAGACACTTGTGTCAGAGCTGCAGCACCACTTCGCATCGCACTGCACCGTGGAGCTCAGCAGCCTGGTACGTTTGTGGGCGGGCGTGTGGTCGAATGGAAGCAAAACGCACTCCTCCACACTGCACACTCGCACACGTTGCATGTGAACACCCCTCACGTGCTCCCATGCCAGCATGCCTCACGTCGTGCTGCATGCGCCATCACCCCATGGCCCCACGGCAGGATGATCTAGCGGAGGACAGCGATGGCTTCACAGCGAAGCTGAAGGCCTTCCACGCCGCCTTCTTCCTCGTCGCCACGTGAGCTGCCACTGCACTGCCCCCTGCTCTGCTGCCTGCTCCTCTGCGCACCTCTGTGCTCTGCTGCGCTTCTTGCTGCTGCCACCATGCTGCTATCGCGTCCCCCACGCCACACACGCGAGCTGCATGTCTCTCTGCTCCACATCTGAATCCACCCGCCCTATCCCTGTCGCCTCCTTGCCTCCCCCACAGCTACGGGGACGGAGAGCCAACGGACGATGCGCAGCGCTTCTTCAAATGGCTGCACGCCACCGCTGCTGCTGCAGAGGCTCAGGTGCGCACCGCTGCAGAGGCTGACAGCCGCTCATGCATGCATGTGGTCGTGCATGCATGGTGGCATTCATGTTCATCGCTGGTTGCTGCTATGCTCTCTTCCTGCTGCCGCCCCTCTCTGCATGCATCAGCCCCCATCCGTCCCGCCTGCACCTCCTCTACTCCCACCAGGACGACAGCCCCTTGCCACTGCAGGGGCTCCGTTTTGCTGTCTTCGGGCTGGGAAATCGGCAGTACGAGCACTTCAACCTGGTATGCCACTGTCATTCCCCACCTTGCTCCACCTGCTGCCATGCCAGCCAACACGCTGTGAAGCGGTACAGCATCCTGCTTTGCTGTCACGCCCTTCAACGTCACTGCTCGCGTGGCTGCTCCCCCATCCATTACCATTGCCATACGTCCGACCACCTTCCACTCCACTACCGTTCCATTCCCCCTGCCCACCCGTGCAACCCCATGTTCACCTCATACTTCACACCGCCTCATCTTCCAACTCCCCCTTGTGCGTGCCCACCCCCATTGCTCTGTGTGTGTGCGCGTGCAGATGGGCAAGATGCTTGACAAGCACCTCGCTGCCCTCGGTACGCTGCTACCCCATACCCTCCCTGCCCTCCCTGCCCTCCCTGCCCTCCCTGCCCTCCCTGCCCTCCCTGCCCTCCCTGCCCTCCCTGCCCTCCCCGCCCTCCCTGCCCTCCATACCCTCCCATACCCTCCCTGCCCTCCCTTGCTACCGCTTCTTCCTTCTCCTCATGCGCCGTGCCAGCAATCGCTCTGCGTCAGTTGCTGTTCCCCCACCCCACCCACCTCACTGCTCTCCGCTCCCCCAACCATCACCCCCCATCAACCACCATCACCACCCCCCATGACCTCACCGCGTGTGGTATATTGGCTGGCAGGCGGGCAGCGCGTGGCGGAGGTGGGGTTGGGAGACGACGACCAGTGCATCGAGGACGACTTCAAGGCCTGGTGAGTACGTCGTCCTGAATCTGCCTCCCCCCTGCACCCCATGCCTTACCCCTCTCGCCACCACTCGCCCTCACTCACCCCACTCGGCCCCACTCGCCCTCACTCAGCCTCTCACTCACTCAGCCACTCGTCCCCACTCGCACCCACTCACCTCTCTTGCCCCACTCACCCCTCTCACCCCATTCGTCCCCCACGTGTGCATGGTTGGCAGGCGGGCGGGGCTGTGGAAGGGCTTTGAGGCGCTCGTGCTGGGCCGGGGGGCGGGGGGCGAGGGGCAGCAGGGCGAGGGGGCAGCGGGGGAGTGGGAGGACGAGGAGGAGGAGGTGCAGGAATATCAAGTGCGGTTCCACAGCCGAGTGGGGCAGGCTGGGGTTGCTGGGGAGAATGGAGAGCTCAACGGGGGGTTGAATGGGCACGTGCATGAAGAGATGAATGGCAAGATGAACGGGGAGACGAATGGGAAGGTGAATGGAGGAGAAAAGCAGGTGAATGGCGTGGGGGAGCATAAGAATGGCGGGGAGGAGGAGGAGGAGCAGATGAGCATGGGGGAGGCGATTGCTGCTGTCGGGTGGCACTCGCACAGCATTGGCAGGTGAGCGCTACTAGAAACCGAAAACTGAGAAAGGTATAAGGGGTTGTTTGGGATTCGGATTAACAGCACTGGCCCCCACCACTAAGCTCGGTTGGGAAGCTATTGGGCGGTCCCTTTTGTCGAGTTGTACGCCCAATGTGTGCAATCTCGGCAATATTCGAGGGTAAAAGAGTACACATTTTTACAAAATCTACTCGCATCTGTGTGTTGGTTGCCTCCGGCCTTTTCCAACATCACATTCCCTAGACTGATCACACTACCCTGCTGATTCATCTGCTTCCTTCAACCCTCTCACCTCTGTCTCCCGATTTTCCCCTCTCCTTCCACCTGCTGGCCTGCTGGCGTCTATGTGGCGTGCGTGTGGCGTGTATCTCTCATGCACATGGCAGGGCGCGGGTGGCAGTGGTGAGGGAGCTGCAGGCGCCCAACTCAGACCGATCCACGCTGCATGTGGAGCTCGACCTCTCGCCCTGCCCGCATCTGCAGTATGCTCGTCTCGGCCCCCCATAAGCAACCACTTGCCACTGCAACCACACCCTCATTGCTCGCCTCCCTCTGATCTTTTCCTCCCGTTGCTGCCACGTGCTTTTCCCCACACCTTGCCTCCGCATCCCCCCATGCCATGCCATCCAATGCTGTCTGTTGTCTTGCCATCCCCTGCCATCCCGTGACATGCCATGCAGGTACAAGGTGGGCGACCACGTGGCAGTGTTTCCTGAGAACAGCGACGCTGACGTGGCAGCAGTGGCCAAGTGTCTGGGATTGGACCTGGATGACGTCATCTCCCTGCATCTCCCCTCGCCCTCGTCCTCCCTGCCACCGCCCCCTCCCGGCCGCCACTCCATCCGCTCCGTGCTCGCCTCGCTGCCTGACCTCCACTCCTCGCCGCGCAAGGTGAACCTTTTTCCCTGCCTCTCTTTTGCATTTGGTGCCCTTGCTGTGCATTTATATCAGCACAGGCTCCTCCTGCTTGCTGCCAGCTGTGCCAAGCAGTGTCACCCGCCCATCCCCCTCTGCACACCTGTTGCCGCCCGTCCCTTCCCATGCCCTAACGCGACCTCCTTCTTTCCCACTGCGCTGGCCGCGCTGCACCAGGCAGCGCTGGCAGTGTTGGCGCACTTTGCCTCCCACCCCGACGAGGCGGCGCGCCTCAAGCACCTGGCCAGCGACGGAGGCAAGGCGGAGTACCGCGAGTGGGTGGCGGCGGCACACCGCTCGCTGCTGGAGGTGCTGCAGGCATTCCCCTCCGTGCGCCCGCCCCTCGCTGTGTTCCTCGCCTCCGTTGCGCCGCGCCTGCAGCCGCGCTTCTACTCCATCTCCTCCCACCCCAGGTGCGCTCTCTCTTCCCGCATTGCCTCCCTGCTGAGTGTTCTGATGCACCCTGCCACACGGCCCACGTGTGTCATTCCATCCTCGCTCCACCAATCCCCGCCAACAGAATCCATCCTTGTGTTTGCTCCTCTTGTGCGTCTCTTGCATCTCATTTCCTCCTCGCCTTTTCCTCTTCACCTTCTATAGCATGCCCGGCCACATCCCACTCTCCACACACGTGCACTCTTCCGCTTTCCCCCCCAGGACTGCCTGCTGCCACTTCCCATGGTCTCTACCCTCTGTCCCTCTGCCCCTACCCCCATTGCGCCCTGTGCTGTATGCCCAGGCACGAGCCGGGCGCACTGCACATAACGTGTGCGGTGGTGAGGGACATCACCCCAGCAGGCCGCATCCACCACGGCGTCTGCTCCTCCTTCCTGCACCGCCACCTCCCCCTGCCCACCCCCGCCTCCACCTCCCCCGCCCCCTCGCCCCCCGTGCTGCTGCCGGCGTTCATCCGCTCGTCGCACTTCCGCCCGCCCACCGACCCCACGCGCCCCATCGTGATGGTCGGCCCTGGCACCGGCCTCGCGCCCTTCAGAGCCTTCCTGCAGGTGCTGCCACTGTGCTTCCACTTCCCCTCTGCCCTCCACGCCTGCCAGCTGTTATTCCATTGGCACGCCGCACCCCCTGGCACCGCATGCTGTCTCTGGCCGCGTGGCAGCGAGTGGGGCCGCCAAGTCCCCACACCGCACTCCACTCTTCTTCCGCGTCCTCCTCGCCTCCACCCCTCCCTTTTCACATGCTCCCTTCCCCCTCTTTCTCTCCTCCCCTATCCCTCCGCAGCACCGCGCGTTGCTGCAGAAGGGCGGGCAGCAGCTGGGGGAGGCGCTTCTGTTCTTTGGGTGCCGCCACCGCCACCAGGTGCTGCGGGGGGGGGGAGAGGCACGCATGGGGGGAAGGCAGGGGAGAATTGGAGCGGCCAGATGGGGGGACAGTGGCACATGCAGTGGGGCGTGCAGTGGGAGGGTCGTGAGGGAAGGAGTGGGGGAGGATTGGGAAAGGGAGTGAGAGCGGGGATGGGGGAGGGAGCAGGAAAGGATGGGAAGTGAGCACTGGTGCGGTGTGCCTTGAGATGTTGATGTGCATCTTTACGTGTGCCACATTTCTGCACCAACTTGTGTGCACGCACAATAACAGTCCATACATCCCTCGAATCCCGTGCGCCCGCCACCTCCCCTGGTCCCTGCCTGCGCGCAGGACTACATATACCGGGAGGAGCTGGCAGCGTATGAGGAGAGCGGCGTGCTGTCAGCGCTGCACGTGGCCTTCTCGCGAGACGGGCCCTCCAAGGTCTACGTGCAGCACCTGCTCAAGCAACAGGTATGTGCAGCACCTGCTCAAGCAAGAGGTGCGTGCAGCACCTGCTCAAGCAAGAGGTGCGCTGCTTGTGAAAGGGGCGTGCAGCACCTGCTAAGTGCCAAGTGTGCTGATTGGGTTGGTGGTGCCATTTTACTCCAGGTTTGTCCGAACCTGCTTGCCCAGGCATGCTCGCACACTTGTTGACGTATAAGAATGCGTATCATATTGCCTCACCATGTTTCTCCTCTGTGCGCGTGTGTGTGTGTGTATGTGTGCATGTGTCTGTGTGCATGTGTCTGTGTGCATGTGTCTGTGTGCATGTGTCTGTGTGCGTGTGTCTGTGTGCATGTGTCTGTGTGCATGTGTCTGTGTGCATGTGTCTGTGTGCATGTGTCTGTGTGCGTGTGTCTGTGTGCATGTGTCTGTGTGCATGTGTCTGTGTGCATGTGTCTGTGTGCATGTGTCTGTGTGCGTGTGTCTGTGTGCATGTGTCTGTGTGCATGTGTCTGTGTGCATGTGTCTGTGTGCATGTGTCTGTGTGCATGTGTCTGTGTGCATGCGGCGGTGGCACAGGCGGAGAGGGTGTGGCAGGTGGTGGGGAGGCGGGGAGGCAGTGTGTACGTGTGTGGGGACGCCAAGGCCATGGCCAGGGACGTGCACCATGCGCTGCTCGAGGTCGCTGTGGAGCAGGTCGGTGGGCGCTCTGCTGGGGTGTCCTGCACAAGTTTAATTCCTCCCTCTCTCTCTGCTCTGCCGCTCTGTGCTTTACGTCTGCTGTTGCTCAGCGCCCATCCATCCATCCATCCATCCGTCCGTCCGTCCGTCCGTCCGTCCATCCATCCATCCATCCATCCATCCATCCATCCATCCATCCATCCATCCATCCATCCATCCATCCATCCATCCATCCATCCATCCATCCATCCATCCATCCATCCATCCATCCATCCATCCATCCATCCATCCATCCGTGTGTGTGTGTGCATGTGTCCATACCGATGTGTGTGTGCATGTGTCCATACCAATGTGTGTGTGCATGTGTCCATACCAATGTGTGTGTGCATGTGTCCATACCAATGTGTGTGTCCATACCAATGTGTGTGTGCATGTGTCCATACCAATGTGTGTGTCCATACCAATGTGTGTGTCCATACCAATGTGTGTGTCCACGGTTGTGGGTGTGCTGCAGGGTAAGATGGCGAAGGAGGCGGCAGTAGCATTGTTGGATGGTTTAGCAGAGCAGGGTAGGTATCTAAGAGACATTTGGTGACCTGCTGCTACATACCGGTACATGATGTGATGTACTGTTGGTGCTAGTTAGCAGTGAGGTGTTGGGTGTTCCAATCGAAGTGCTCTACATACGGTAACAGAGAGGATGCAAAAACAAGCCATTTGCCAATGTGTATTTGAATGAGGGTGTAAAATTGACAGGCTATGCAAAGCTTCACTTCTTTCAACCATTTCGCACTGGGGAGCTTTTCTTGTTTGTGAAGTGTAAAAAGAATTATCCCCATTAGCAGCCGTTTGTACGGATTGTCGAAATTGAGGACTGCGAATCCAGACAGCCATGTGCAACTAGAAAGTGCAATAACGAATCGGTTTGTACATAGCGCCTGGTACTGTGCTCGAGGCCTTCCCTGAAGCTTCTGGTTCTCGCTTCTCCCACAAGCCTGTCGAGCCACAGCCATGCGTTCGGCACAAGCCTGGAGGCGCTAAGCATTCACCTGGTCGAGCCGCATCTCAGTTGGAGGAATCTTTTCAACGCGCCGCCGCAAAGCCCAGATTTCAGAAGCCAAACGCGAGGCAAAGCCCATTGCCCAACCAGAGCACTCCAGCAGCACACCCCTCATCCGCACGGCGCCACCGCCATTACCCATCCGTCCGTCCATCCCTCCGCACAGACCGTCCAAATCCATTCTGTACTCAAAGCCTGCCCTCCCCGAGCTGTACATATAATAGTCGCACACAAACCCGACACCACATTCGGCCTCCACGTTTCCACCATTCCGAATCTCTGCTGCCCCTCGCCCAAACACGCGCGCCTTCAACGCGCGCGCACACAGCGCCAGCCCGCTCCGCCTCGAACTCTCCATTCCCGCCTGCGGTCCCCCGCACGTCCGCTCTCCCCGCCATGGCGCCTCCCCGCGTCTCGCTACTCACAACGCGACGCCTCTCGTTCGCCGGGCTCGCGCTCTGCGCGCTTCTCGCCGCGGCCCTCTTCCGCCCCGCGCTTTCCCGCGCATCTCTGCACGTCGCGCGCGGGCGAGCGCTAGAGGAGGACGACGAGCGGGAGGAGAGCAGCGATGACGGCGGAAGCACAGATCGGATGCGCTCGCAGGGAAAGTTGCGCTCGCATTGGCGCGCGGAGGAGGAAGGCGAGGTGAATGACGACTCGTCGCACGACGACCACCACGATTACGACGACCGCGACGACCACGACGAACATTACGACCATCATGACGACAATGGAAGTGATGGCGACGATGGCGACGACCATTCGCGCGACCACGACCAATCCGGGGTGACCTCGTCGCCGTCCGCGCCCTCCCCGCCCACCACCACCCCCTCCGACCCCGCCGTCTCCCCGCCGCCCCCTACCTTCCCGTCACTGACGTGCGCGCCTGGCGCGGGGTTCTGCGAGTTCGCAGGGACGGCGGGTTGCAGCCCCGCGCGGATCTTCTGCAACGGCTCTTGCTGCATTGTACGCGCTGCCCCCTCCGCGCTCCGCCCCTCCGCTTGCTCCCTGCCTCCACACAAACACACACGCATACGCACAGGCGCACGCGCACGAACAAGCACACGCACGAAAACACGCCACACACACACACACGCCCTCACACATGCACACATACGCACACACCCCTCACATGCACACACCCCTCACACACACACACACACACACACACACACACACACACACACATGCCTATACGGTTAGTCCTTGCCCGGGTAGAGTGCTGTCCATTCTCCCGTTACCTCGCACATCCACGCATCATCACCCCAGTCTCCTCCTCCTCAACCCCCTCTCCTCCTCTTCCCCGCACCCAATCCCCCCCCTCCCCCCCGTGCCAACGCCACAGGACCACCACCACTACCCGTGCTGTGGCGGCAAGGTGTGCTGCGAGCGCCGCCCCGGGTCGTGCTGCCGCAACCAGCGCGGAGAGCCCTACTGCTGCCGCTTCCCCTCCACCTGCTGCCGCCACGGCTGCTGCAACGTCTGAACTGGCCGCCCTGCACTCTTCCACTCCCACCGCACCATCCTGCTGCTCAAGGCTCAAGCCTGCTCGCCCTCCCTGCATGTGTGCCCTGCTCATGCTGGGACAGTCCTCTGCCACATGTAGAGTGCTGCATGCTCTGCTCTCTCTGCTCCTTTAGCTACCTGTGTGCATGTGCAATAAAGAGGCATTGTGTTGTACCGTAGGTATCCGCGCAATGCGGGTGCAAAGAGGTCAGGAGCATGGACTGTAATTACACGTTTATTATCATATTGGGCCGCTTAGTAGACATGTAGTACAGCACAAAGGCCAAGTTCAGGAAAGCTGATTCAGTGCCATTCAGCACTGTGAGACACGACTAAGGCAAGAGTGTACGTGTGACAAGTGGTGCTCGTACAAGCATGCACTCGGCATGATAGGGAAGACTGCTGGCAGTGGTGGGACAAGCATGGCACGCCCCCGTGCTTGCACCCTGTGTGTGTGCCTGCCAGTATGCGGCATGGCAGCACGCGGCATGGGAGCGAGATCACCAGCCAGGCCTGGCGTGTGGGCAGCGCGAGCTCGCTCAGAGGGTGGCGGGTGGTGAGGGTGTGGAGGAGGAGGGGGGCTCCATGGGGTTGACGTCCATGGGGTAGCTGCCCAGCACTCGCAGGAATGGCGCCATCTCCTGATGGGGTGGGGGGGGGACACACACGTGAGCAGGGCGCAGAGTGAGTGCAGTCAGCGTGATCAACAGCCACGTCTGGCCTGAGGCAGCTCGAGCTTCCTCAGAGGCTGGAGGGTGGGGCGGAGGGGAGTAGTCCATGGGGTTGACGTCCATGGGGTTGACGTCCATGGGGTAGCTGCGCGCAGGAACGGCGCCATCTCCTGGTGGCATGGGTGGGATGGGGGACACACATGTGGGGTGTGAGAGCAGTGATGCGAGGAGGGGGGAAGGGAAGTGTGCGAATGAGACAAGGCGGAAATGACCAGAGGGAGAGGAGGCCAGGAGGGATAGCGTGAGGAGCAGGAGGAGGCAGGGCGGACCTGGAGGTGGCGCATGGCGTTCTGCACGCGGGGCTCCGCCAGGGATGCCTGGAAGTCAATGTAGAACAGGTAGTCGAACGACTGGTACGCCATGGCGCTGCTGCTGTGGGGGGGATGGTGGGGAGATGGAGGGGCAACGAGGGTGACAGGGGTGGTCAGGTAGGTTGGCAGGGTGGTGGCAACAGCATGAGTGAACGAGTGTGTGAGTAAGTGAGTGAGTGAGTGAGTGTGTAAGTATGTGAGAAAGTGAGAGTGTAAGTATGTGAGTGAGTGAGTGAGTGGGTGAGTGGGTGAGTGAGTGGGTGAGTGGGTGAGTGAGTGGGTGAGTGGGTGAGTGAGTGGTTGAGTGGGTGAGTGAGTGGGTGAGTGGGTGAGTGAGTGGGTGAGTGAGTGGGTGAGTGAGTGGGTGAGTGAGTGGGTGAGTGATTGAAGTAGAAACTGCAGAGGGAGGTGCATGAGAAGACAAGGTCATGTGAACGAGGGCAAGAGAACAAGGAGGAAGGAGAGAGGTGGGGGGAGGAGAACTGACTCTTGAGAGGCGGCGGCAGGGGTCTCTGAGAGGGGCATGGCGGGCGCAGCGAGGGAGGAGCGATCCAACCAGTCCACATAGAGAGGCTTGTCCCTGTGCGGCCGCGACTCTATCTGTGATCGTGTGCATGCACTCATACGGTAATGCGCACACACACATGCACACATACATGCACACACACATGCACACACACATGCACACACACATGCACACACACATGCACACACACGAGCAAATGCACGTGCGCGCGCGTGTGCACACACATACACAAGCAAACACGTGCGTGCACACACGCACGCACAGGTGCGCACAAGCAAGCATGCACATGGACACATGGTGGCACACAGAGGCAGCATAAGATGAGTGCGAGTGATCCAAACGTGCACGCACATGCCACACACCGGGGACCAGTGAAGCAGGAAACAGCAGAGAGGTGTGGTGCAGTGCGGTGTGGTGCGGTGCGGTACGGGAAGGCAGTGACCTTAGTAAGGTTGATGTCGCGGAGGGCGAAGACGGAGAGCGCCTTGAAGAGCACTCCCGCGCCCTTCTCCAATGTGAACACTATGCTCGTCTGGTGGGGTGCACACACATGGGGGGGGAAGAGGGAGGGGAGTGCAGGGGTGCAGGTATGGAGGGTGGTGAGGGCGAAGGAGTAGCGATGGTGTAGGCGGGCATGGTGAGAGGCAGGCATGGTGAGAGGCAGGCATGGTGGCGCAGAAAAAAGTAAAGGAGGAAGACGAGGGAGGGAGCTTGGGCGGGGAGCGACAGAAGGGCGAGGTTGGAGGGCGATGCGATGGCGCACCTTGAAGGGGCGGTCGGTGGAGGGCAGCACCCACCTTGAAGGGGCGGTCGGTGGAGGGCAGCACCCACCTTGAAGGGGCGGTCGGTGGAGGGCAGCACCCACCTTGAAGGGGCGGTCGGTGGAGGGCAGCACCCACCTTGAAGGGGCGGTCGGTGGAGGGCAGCACCCACCTTGAAGGGGCGGTCGGTGGAGGGCAGCACCCACCTTGAAGGGGCGGTCGGTGGAGGGCAGCACCCACCTTGAAGGGGCGGTCGGTGGAGGGCAGCACCCACCTTGAAGGGGCGGTCGGTGGAGGGCAGCACCCACCTTGAAGGGGCGGTCGGTGGAGGGCAGCACCCACCTTGAAGGGGCGGTCGGTGGAGGGCAGCACCCACCTTGAAGGGGCGGTCGGTGGAGGGCAGCACCCACCTTGAAGGGGCGGTCGGTGGAGGGCAGCACCCACCTTGAAGGGGCGGTCGGTGGAGGGCAGCACCCACCTTGAAGGGGCGGTCGGTGGAGGGCAGCACCCACCTTGAAGGGGCGGTCGGTGGAGGGCAGCACGGGGTCCCTCGCCAGCGCCAGGAAGCGCGTGAAGTTGTCCGCCTCGTCCTGATGGGGGGGTGGAGGAGGATGGTGGAGAGAGGGAAAGGGGGGACGCGAGGAGGGACGGGAAAGAAAGCAAGGGATTGGCGGAGAGACAAGCGAGGGAGAAGAAGGAAGGATGAGAGGAGAGGAGAAGGAAGTGGGAGACAGGAGCACAGCATCTGCACTCTACGACCCCACATGCCTACAGCCCCTCTACCATCCCACCTGAATGCCCTCCGCCAGGATCCCACCTGAATGCCCTCCGCCAGGATCTCACCTGAATGCCCTCCGCCAGGATCTCACCTGAATGCCCTCCGCCAGGATCTCACCTGAATGCCCTCCGCCAGGATCTCACCTGAATGCCCTCCGCCAGGATCTCACCTGAATGCCCTCCGCCAGGATCTCACCTGAATGCCCTCCGCCAGGATCTCAAGGCCGTAGATCTCCGCCGCCCGCGTGCTCGCCACTGCCCCCACGCCCTCCATCTTCTGATTCGCCACCATCTGCCACGTGGCAGCACAGCATTGGGCAGCACAAGGCATGGCGGTGGAGTGAGTTGAGTAGAGTGCAAGGGTTTAGCAGACCACAGAGGCGAACTTGCAACAACTTTTCTTCCCGCCTCACTTTGTGAGACAACTCACAACCCGCCTGCCCACCCCAGCAGCACCCCCCTGAGCGGCCCCCAGCAGCCCCTGTCACCTGAGCGGCCCCCAGCAGCCCCTGTCACCTGAGCGGCTGGTACGCACCTGAGCAGCCCCAGCCGTGTCGTAGACGGCTTCCTGCACCACTCCCAACCCATTCAGCGTCGCCTCGCACTGCGCCAACGCCTGCGCTCCGGGGGAGCAAGGGGGAAGACGGGGGAAAGGGGCGGAAAGGGGGAGCAGGAAAGGTGGTGGCGTGGGCGCAGTGCGAGAAGGGATGAAGGGGAGAGGGAGAGAGGTAGGTGGGGGAAAGGAAAAGGGGGAGAGAGGGGAGGAGGAAGAGGGGAGGTGAGAGAAGTGAACCCTATGGTAGACCCATGCAAGGCACGCGCTGCAGCGACCCCGCTCACCCTGCTGCCGCGCCCTCCTTTGCCCGCACGGCACTCACCCCGCCCCTTCTTTCTCCCCCATCCCCCGCCTCCCCCTCTACGCCCTACACCCACCTGGGGGTGCGAGAGCACGCGGGTGAGCTGGTCAGGCGTGGACCCCGGCAGGGCGAGCAGGCAGTGGTGCACGGGCAGGCGCACCTCGCCTCGCCCAAGATGTGCAGGCGGTGCCGCAGCAGCAACCCAGCAACCCACCCCCATCCCCCTTGCACTTACCTGGGGATGTGAGAGCACGCGCGTGAGCTGGGTGGTGTGCGTGCCGGGCAGCGCGAGCAGGCAGTGGTGCACGGGCAGGTGCACCTCGCCCACGATGTGCAGGCGGTGCCGCAGCAGCAACCCAGCAACCCACCCCCATCCCCCTTGCACTTACCTGGGGATGTGAGAGCACGCGCGTGAGCTGGGTGGTGTGCGTGCCGGGCAGCGCGAGCAGGCAGTGGTGCACGGGCAGGTGCACCTCGCCCACGATGTGCAGGCGGTGGCGCAGCAGCAGGTCGTAGTTGCGGTGGATCGACCCCCCCAGGCTGTTCTCTATCGGCAGCACCGCGCGCCCCACCAGCCACTGCTCCACCGCCTGGGGGACCAATGCGCGCGGGAGCGGGGGAGGGGGAAGTGGGAGGCAAAGGGGAGAAGTGGAAGAGTGAAGGGGGTGTGGGTCGCAAGGGGAAGGATGGAGGGATGCGCGGAGAGGAGGAGGCGGAATGCAGATGCTGCATTGAAACGGCCAAGGTCCCACTGGCTTGGGTGTGTGCATGCATGCGGGGCGCGTGGGGGCTAGGGGTTGCTTGGGGGACGCGCGGGGGAGGGGGGCGCGTTGGGGGCTTACTTTGAAGGCGTCGTCGAACTGGTCGCAGGGTACGGGGGAGCACCCCGGGTACACACGCATCGCCGCCATCTCGCTGTATGCGCCCGGCACGCCCTGGGGGAAAGGGGGGGAAGAGTGGGGGGATTTGAAGGAGATGGCGCAGGGAAGGGGGGGTGGGAAGTAGACGAGGCCCGACCGCGTTCCGTGAGTGAAGAGGGCGAGCGGAGGTGGCGGATGCAAGGCGGGCAGTGAGGGGGGATGTGCGGAGTAGAACCACCGCGCGATGGGGAGCGGTGTGCGGCGGTCGCGGAGACGTGACTGCGCAGCCACGCTGTCGCGCCGCGCTCACCTGGTACGCCACTCGCAGCGGGACACCTGTCCCGTTCCCATTCGCGCCTCCCTCGCTGTCCGACTGCGACTGTAGCACGGCGCGCGCCCGCGCGGGCGACGCCTGCCCGTGGCGCGACGCGACTGGCGGGCGCTCGGCGCTGAAAGAGCGACGCGGGGAGCCACTGGGGGAGTCGACTGTTGGCGCAAGGGGAAGGCGTGGAGGGGAGGTGCGGGTTAAAGCGGGAAATGCGGCGCGCTGGCAGATGCGGTGGCGCATGAGGGCGCAGCGCCGCGGATCTTGGGAGCGTTGGGGGAGGCGGAACGACTGGTGGCTTGCAATCAGATGCTTCAGCGGTTTTGCATTTCAGTTCAGACCCTCACCGCCGTCCACTCAACCGCCGTTTCGCGCTTCGCGCGTACCTGTGCCGAGCGACTGGCCAATGAGCGACGAGCCGCTGCTTAGACTGACGCGATCTGGTGTTGCCATCGAGGAGGGTGACGACGAATTCTTATAGGAGCGCGGCGCGAGCTGATCTAACGGCGAGGAGCGGAGGAGTCGGCGCATGGGCAGCGATACGATCGAGGTCATGGCACCCCGCGACGCTTCCCACACGACGAGCCAATGACTTTAGGCGCTGATCGTTACAACGTGTTTAGGAGTTGCGCGCACGTGGCGGGCACACAGCACGCAGCTAGGCGACAACCCAGAGAAGGGAAAGACGGATTTGCGGGCAGGGGTGGGAGTCAGATTTGTGTACTGTAGTTTGCGGCTTCAGGCATTCCTTCGACTTTATCAACGCTCAAAATCTCACCCGAACGATCTAAAACGTAATCGAACCACACTGCCGCGCAAAACATCTCGCAAAACCGCATTCAACTGAATGCTTATCCCACAACATTCAAAAATATCCAGACAACGCTGGACGAGAATAGGGTTACCGTCGCTCATTTCGCGGGAAGTTGCCGAACCCAAACCCCGACCCCTTGATAAATCCCTCATAAGACCTTCAGACCCCACACTTGTGCATTCTGCTCTCCTTTCCTTTACCTTCAGTTCGCGTCAGTCCCCGTCAACCCACTACTCTCGCTTTCATCTCCGCGTTCTCCTCCGCGTTGTTCCTTCCGCCACGCTAATTCCAGATTCGCGTCTCCTAACGACCTCAAAGCAGCTCGAGCGGCCAATCAGCAGCAAGCATGGTGAAGCGAAGCAAGAGTAAGCTTATGTCGATCGTTTGAGAATAAGCGGTTTGATGCTTGCGGCGTGATTGCGGTGCTTATCGTGCCTCGTGATCGCATGGTCGCGTCATGCCTCGTCAGTCTCGTTCTATGCAAACACCATCTCCTCATCCCGTCGCGTTTCCCCTCGCGCCCTCCGACTGACTTTTCCCACACCGCCCTTCTTGTTCCGACCCCCTCCCACTCTTCTCCCGCCACACCGTGTCCCCGTTGCGCGCGCAGAGAGCAAGAGCAAGCGCGTGACGCTGCGGCAGAAGTACAAGGTGATCCGCAAGGTGAAGGAGCACGCCAAGAAGAAGCTCAAGGAGGCCAAGAAGGCGCGCCGCGACGGCGTCGCGCCGAGGCGGCGCGTGGAGAAGGACCCGGGCATCCCCAACGACTGGCCGTTCCGCGAAGAGGAGCTTGCGGCGCTCGAGGCGCGGCGGCAGCGCGGGCTGGAGGAACGCGAGGCGAAGAAGGCGGAGAAGAAGGAGCGGGTGCGCGCGGGGGGAGGGGGGATGGGTGCGCGAGCGGGGAGAGAGAGCCAAGGAATGCCAAATTCTCCTTTCTACGCCCATTCTCCCCGCCAGCGCGCACCCCGCATTGCCCCTTTCGTCCGACACCCCTCGCTCGTTGCCGTTAAACCCCGAATCCCTGCCACTCTCTCCCTCCCTCCCCTCCTTTCTCCCCCATCGGGCCATCCCCCCATCCTCCCTCCCCCCTCCCCCATCAGGCGAGGCGGCGCCGCGCGGGGCTGCCGGAGGAGGGGCCGCTGCCGGGCGCCGAAGGCGTGGAGGATGAGGAAGACGCGGAGATGGGGGCCGAGGGGGAGGAGGGGGAGGAATGTGGGCGCGTGACTAGCGGGGCGGCGATGGCGGGGATGGTGAAGGGGGCGATGGAGAGGGGCGCGGAGTTTGAGAAGCGGAAGAGAGAGCGGGAGGAGGCGGCGGAGGGGCAAGCGGGCAAGGGGAAAGGTGGGTGCGCGGGAGGCAATCGGAAGGGGGCAAACTTCACTAAGCACGAGTCCTAATCAGGCTGAAGGGGTTAGGAGGGCCCAAACCTTAAGCCCGAAACCCGACCGAGGAGGGAACATGCAGTACGGAACGTTCGGCGCATATCCGCTGCATTCGTGCTCCCTGCAACATCCGCCGTCCCTCCTCTTCCCCTCCTCTCCCTCCCCTCAACTCACTTTCTTCAACCCCCTTGTCTCCTTACCCGCTTCCCCTTTTCCCCCCACAACCCCCCGCCCTCATCTTTTCCCCGCGGGCGCGCGCAGCGGGAGGGCAGCGGGCGTTTATGCGCGAGTTGCGCGCGGTGGTGGAGGCGGCGGACGTGGTGCTGCTCGTGCTCGACGCGCGCGACCCGCTGGGTGGGCGGTGCCGCCAGCTGGAGGACATGGTGGCACGCAGCGGCGCGCACAAGCGCGTCGTGCTGCTGCTCAACAAAATCGGTCAGTCGCGCCTCCCGCTCTCCGCCTCTCCAACCCTCCCCTCCCCCTGCCTTCACTCTCACCCGCAACCCGAATATTCAACCCCGAGCAAACTCACACACACACCCTTCTCTCCCCCCAATTCTCACGCCTCTCCGCCGCGCCCCTCCCCCTCCCCTTCCCCCTCCCCCTCCCCCTCCCCCTCCCCCTCCCCCCTTCCCCCCAGACCTGGTACCGCGCGACGTGGTGCAGCGCTGGCTGGCGTACTTCCGCCGCGAGCTGCCCGCCGTGGCCTTCAAGGCCTCCACGCAGGCGCAACGCGCGCACCTCGCGCGCGCCTCCCGCAAATCCCGCGCCGACCCCAACCGCGCCGCCGCGCCGCAGCCGCTGCTGCCGCGGGGGGAGGGGGAGGAGGCGGGCGGCGCGGCGGGCGCGGAGGGCAGCGAGTGCTTCGGCGCAGACACGCTGATCCAGCTGCTCAAGAACTACTGCCGCAACAAAGACGTGAGTGGGGGGGTGGGAAGTGGCTTAGGGGCGTGTGGGTGTGGGCGCAGGGGATGCATGGGCGCAGGGGATGCATGGGCGCAGGGATGCATGGGCGCAGGGGATGCATGGGCGCAGGGGATGCATGGGCGCAGGGATGCATGGGCGCAGGGGATGCATGGGCGCAGGGGATGCATGGGGATGGAGCGGAGATTCCTTTAGTAGCGGAGTGAGTAAGTGCAACCTCCTGTTGCTTGCCTCTCACCGTTGCCCCCTGTCCCTCCCCCCTCCCCCCTTCCTCCTATCCTGCAGATCAAGACGGCCATCCGGGTGGGAGTGGTGGGGCTGCCCAACGTGGGCAAGAGCAGTGTGATCAACTCGCTCAAGCGCGCGCGCGTGGCCAAGGCGGGCGCCACGGCGGGCGTGACGCGCGCGCTGCAGGAGGTGCAGCTGGACAAACTCGTGCGCCTCATTGACTCGCCGGGGGTCGTGCTGTCGGGGGGAGGGGGAGGCGGAGGGGGAGGTCAAGGGGGGAAGGACGACGAGGCAGCTGCTGCGCTGCGCAATGCCATCCGCCCTGAGGCGCTGCTCGACCCCTTTGCACCGGGTGGGTACCGCCTCATTCCACCCCGCCTAGAAACCTTCCCCCGCCTTGTGCCTGTCTGTCTCCCCCTTGCTCCGCCTGTGCGGCCCAATAAGTGCCGTCCAGTCCAGGCCATTCCTTGTACCGCTTTCCCTCCCTTCACCACCCTGCTCAATGCACCCCGTCCCACGTTCTCATCCTTGCTGCAACCCCGCACCTCATCCCGTCTCACCACCTGCCATTCCCAGTCACCGCCGCACTTGTTAATCCCTCCCTCATCCCCTCCCCCGTTTCCCCCCCTTTTCCCTCCGCCGCTTCACCCTCCTCCTCCCCCCCCTAGTGGAGCGCATACTGCAGCTGTGCCCACGGGCGCACCTGAACGCCGTCTACGGCCTGGACGAAGCCGCCGCCCACAAGGAGGGGGCGGGCGGCCCCGTGGACAGCTTCCTTCGGCAGGTAGCGCAGAAGCGCGGGCGGCTGAAGAAGGGCGGCGTGCCGGACACGCTTGCTGCGGCGCGCATCGTGCTTCGGGAGTGGAATGAAGGTGCGTGGTGCGGGGCAGCGGGGGGGAAGGGGGAGAGGAAAGGGGGCAAGGGGTGAAGGGCAGCGGAAGCAGAGGAGCAGTGGGATGGGCGAGGTGAGGTGTGGTGTGTTGCTGGCCTGCTGCTGCATGGCCCTGTATCCATTCAACAGCCGCACCCACCTCTCCATCTGCGCCGCCCCCCTCCTCCTCTCAATCTTTCTCACCCATCTCCACGTGTGCACATCCCTCCCTCGTGCTATTCCTCTTTCCCCTCTCATCCGCCTCCCCATCTTGCAGGCCGCATCCCGTACTACACACTGCCGCCATCACCGGCGTCGGAGGCGGTGGAGGGGGCGGAGGAGCACGAGGAGGGGGCGGCGCTGGTGGGTACATGGGGGGGCGAGTTCGGCGCACACGAGGTGCTGGCCAGCGAGCAGCGCGCCTGGCAGGCCCACCAGGGGGGCGCCCTCGCCCCGCCTGCTGGGGGAGGTGGTGGTGGTGCAGCGGGGCATGCGGTGCTGCCTGCTAGCGCACCGGCCACCATGATGGTCACAGATGAGGTGCGTGGTGATGCTGGTGCTGGTGGTGGGGTTGGTGGACGGTGGTGGTGGGGTTGGTGGTGGACGGTGGTGGTGGGGTTGGTGGTGGACGGTGGTGGTGGGGTTGGTGGTGGACGGTGGTGGTGGGGAGGGGAGGTGGTGGCAATGGCAAGCCCACATCGTTCTCTCCCACATCTCTTGCCTCTCGATCCATGCCCCTCGTTCCATGCCCCTATTGCCGAGTTCAACCCCAACTGTTCCCACCTTTTCCCACCAACGCATTGCTGGCGTTGCAGGTGGAAGAGGGAGAGGAGGAAGAGGACGAGGAGGAAGCAGAGGCGGGCGGCATGCATGTGGACGACGTGGATGCGGTGGCGGCAGCGGAGAAGGCAGGTGTGATGCGGGGGAGGGAGTATCTGCGGCAGAACGAGGTGCTGTATGAAGCAGCAGGTATCCTCAATCCGCATCAGCGCCGCGCCGACAAGAAGCGCCGCAAGAAGCAGCAGCACTTGGAGGGGGAGGGGGCGGGGGAGGAGGGCGGTGCGGGGAGCACACGGGGAAAGGGCAAGGGCGGGGCAGCGGGTAAGGGGGCCGGGGGTGAGGAGGCGGAGGGGAGTGAGGGAAGTGACTATGACTTCACGGAGCAGTTTGAAGGCATGCTGCCGGAATGACGGCTCAGCTTTAGTTATTCGGAACAGTGCGAGTGCAAGCTTTGGTTGTTTTCTTGCTGGATTATTGTAATGATGGCGCTGATAGTTGCATTGCATGTGATTATGATTTGCCAAGCCTGGAGTGCATGAAAAGGAGCATAGTGGAAAGATGAAAGGATGGACGGCACAAATAGCGCTGCGAAGGTGCTGACCCACCCAGCTCAAGTAGAGGGGTTGCGGGCCTAATCTTGCATCAGAGACCGGTTGTTGTGACCTGTTGTGCAACAGATGGACAAAAGTCTGCTGTGGCCCGGGGTCAGCTTGCTTTCATGATGTTGGAAAATGGGTGGCACTTCTTTTGGATTGGAAAATAATGAGTTAACATTTCATGACAAGTTTTACAAGATTGCATATGCGCAGCAACGCATTTCATCTGCAGCGGCAGATGGATCAATAAATGGTGGTACTCTGGATCTCATCTAGGCCGTCCACTGATCAAAGTCACGTTTACCATCATTGCTGTAATCACGATCAAACGGCTGGCATACTAATGAGTAGAGCCGTTGAAAATATTTGTGTTTGTCTTCGCCTGGCAAATGAGTCCTCTCTTCGAGCTGACGTCTCCGTACCATCGGGACGAAGCCTCTTAGGAGCGAGAAGCGCGCTTGGAGCGCCGGAGTGTACAGCATTGGACTCGTCGCGGCTTTAGACGCGTGGTGGAAGCGACAACGCGACTTCCGCGGGGGGGCTGCGGGGCGCACCTCGCGGTACAGGACGGTCAAGATCTGGGAAGGGCGTATTTCGGAGCGGAAGGTTTCATCGGAAGATGTCGTTGCGGCGCACGTTGAGGCTGGCGTGGCGCCGCAGCGAGCGCGTGAGCCCGGCGGGGGACGACGTGCTGGAGCGCGCGGAACGGGAGCCCAGCGAGCGCGTGAGGGGGCCAGACGCGGAGGGGTTGGAGCGGGAGCGGGAGAGGTCCGCGCCGGCATCGAGGTACGCGAAGTCCTCCGACAGGTGCAAGTGGCGCGACGAGACCTCGAAGGAGCGACGCGACGGGATGGTTGAGCGGCGGACGGGGAAATCGTCGAGCTCGAGCGAGAAGTCGTCGTCGTCGCCGCCGTGCTGCAGCGACGTCTGGAGCATGTGGATGAAGTTTTCGCAGCGCACGGCGCTGAGCTGGCGCTGGATGTTGAGCAGCTCGAGCTTGCCCTCCAAGGCGCGAATCTCTACGTCGTCGAGCTTGCTGCGGATGATCTTTGAGCTGAGCGGCTGAACGGAAGGGGTAGCCATCTTTTGATATGTAAGGGGTAATGTTGTGTTCTCAAGAAGCTAGACAACGAGCTTTGGGTAAAAGGAAGAAGCGCAAGAGCATTAGAAAGTTGGAAGGCCGAGCACGAAACAAGAAGCTAGCTGAATTGGGTGCTGTAATGGTTGTGTGGGGATAAACCTCGGGCAGAATGGTTGCCTTTGTAGCAGAGAGGCACGAGCAGGAGGGGGACACTGGAGAAGTCGAGGGGGAATGGAAGGGGCATGTTGGGACAACACGCGCGTTCCGACAAAATAGATGGATGTAAATCGCATCGCGCGGTGCAGATCCCTTGCACTGCGGTGCCACTAATCCCTCCAACTCACCCTGGCTTATCCTAACGATATCTAAATCGAGCAGGTACCACAAACTGCTGTGAATCAGCAACTTCCCGCCAGTATTCTGTGGTTCCTGAGACGAGGATGACATGGCAAATGCTTCTGAAATATCGTGCCAGCAAGGTCAGTTGGCAGCACCAGTTGGTCGAGGACGGGAATCGATCATTGAGGCAGGAGTGTATTAAATGCGAATTACATTTGTGGTGCAAGATGAGCGAGGAGAATCATTTTATGGAAGCACAACTGTCTAACGTGGTGTCACTTGTGGTGGGCGTCCAACCAGAGCCAAGACATTGGTACGCGTAGTTACGTGCCATCAGCAGTTCGTCGCAACGATGCTCTCCCACACCACTAGTTCCAGTGAATACTACCAGACACGTAGAGTGGTTCATTTTGTGAAAGAAGAATTTGCAAATTTATCTGACCTTTTATCCAGGCCGAACAACGAAATAATCATTTCCATGTCATTATTCATGGGATATACACAGACCCAAAACCAGAGTTTAAGATTTCTATTCCTTTTAAACACTAAATAACAATCGATGAACCACACAATCAACGGCAGCGTGAAAGTATGCACTCTTATTTATGAGCTACTGGAGTGCAACCTGAATTAACGGCATTCTCATTTGTCGTTTGCAACCGTCTCACTCAGCATTTAACACGCATGGAAGAGCAGTTTAAACTGGTTACGACTGGTGGAGGGGGCTGTACCTTCGCCGTAACTACACCAGAAACTGTGCATGCACTGCACTTGCGTACAATTTGCACTTCAAAGGGTTCTCGTTCGCTGGTCAGCCCGAAAGGGATTGTTTTGAACTCCGAAAGGCCTTCTCGAGTTGATATTTAGCCCCCCTAGAACCTGGTGCCCCCAACATCCCTTTCTACTCTCCCAACCACCCACCCTCCCACCCACACCCCCCACTACCCCCAGCTTTCACATCCCCTTGACCCCAACCCGACACATCGCCCATGGACCACTAGACCCCTCAGCACTTCCCACAATTGAGCAAGCGTCCAACATTTCATTCGTTACGCAAACAGCTGGCGATTCTCGGGCTAATAAATCCCGAGCAGCATTGTCCCCAGTGCATACACAGTCGATCGTCTAGAATCTCAAATCACTCTCGGACTGGGGCAGTCGATGGCACGGGCAGAAAGTCGCCCTCAGCTCAGCTGACACCCAGCCAGCCACCGAATATACCTCATCGGCCATCCCACCGAAGGGGGCTCCGTCGCCATCTTCACCTCACCATCGCCACCGTACAAGGATGGCAGAATCAATGGTATCATCGCCATCAACGACCTCGTTTATGCGTACAGTCACGCTAAATACTGCGAACACTCACAGTTTGCTGCTTTTCCTCATAATTCCTACTGACCCTACGTACTTTAGCCAAAGGTTACTGCTATTATTTCTGGAAACATTCACTAGTACATCCATATGACTGATAGCACAGTGCACAAAGCCTTGGATGTCCAGTACGAACAGCAAACCTTCAGCATTACACACTAGATCAGATGTCAAAGTGTAGGTACATCCTTAGGGCGTATTCCTACGGCCTCCTATCAAGAAACCTCCTATCAAGATTGTACCTTTTGCCTGGTAAAAGTAGCGAGAGATTTTGGGTTTAGGGAATTTTCCAGTGAGAGCTTGATAGGAGGTTTTCTTGATAGGATAGGAATACGCCCTTAGCCTCACATCAAGAATAGGCTTGCGATGCGTACCAATTATATGCAAACTACCTAAATTCCAACGGGGGAGCAGAGAGAACTTGCTTAGTGTGTCTTGTACACACTGCACTGCAACTTTTCCCTTAGAAACTAGAGGAACTAGGAACACAAACAAAATTAAGTACAGGCAAATTGCTGACAGCCATGTCATGTTTGCCATGTTTAGCAAATGGCATACCCAGCCATCACTTCAACTGAACAGCCATGGCTGAACAATAACAATGGAAGACCTGAAGAATGCTAGTAACCTCGTGCACACTCGGAAGTGCGGCATGTCCAGTCAAGCTAGGGGTAACCAGAGAGGTGCAATGGGCAGGACAGGCTTTGGTGCTTTGAGCACCTATCAGCCACTTGCTAGCATGCCACTGTTGTAGAGAGAACCCCTTCCCTCACCCAATGAAGGCACAGCGGTCACACAAAACTCAAGGCTGGCCTGCTTGACCTTACTGCTGCTGCTGTTGCTGCTGCAGGAAAGCCTGGTACATGTCCAGATTAAATGCCTGCAGGCAAACAAGGGAGAGGTAGGTGGCAGGTCAGAAAGCGAGGCCATAACACATTCCTGAAAAGGCATTGCCAGGTAAAAGCAGGAATCAGGGATTTGAGCAAGCGAATTACTCAGGTTATGACAGAATGCAGGGACGCACCTGACGTTGTTGCTGCTGCTGTTGTTGCTGTTGTTGTCGTTGCTGCTGGTGCTGCTGCTGCTGGTGTCGTGCCAGGTAAGCCTCCATGGGATCAACAGAGGGCCCCCGTTGCCGGTGCCCCTCCAGCATTGCAGCCGCTGCCGCCATCGCTGCTGACGTGGATGCTGACGCCGATGCCGATGCTGCTGCTGCTGCCCTCCCTCCTCCGCCGTCCCGCCCCACTCCCCCTCCTCCACTGGCGCCCCCCTCCGCTGCCACCACTGCTGCCTGCGCCGCCTGCAGCTGTGACAGCAGCTGCGAGTGCCGTGCAGATTGGGACAGAGACTGGGATGACGTGGCAGCAGCCATTGCCGCAGCAACCGATGACATGTCATTCAACTGCCCCTGCCCGGCTGTATTCGGCGCCAGATCTGCGCACGCCATCTCCATCATGAGCCGCTGCTGAGCTGGCAGTCCAGCAAGCTCCGACAGCCCAAGACCGCCCATGCCCATGCCTCCCATGCCCAAACCCCCCATGCCTCCCAGTCCGCCCATTCCAAGCCCCATCCCCATGCCCATCCCCATGCCCATGCCCGCGTTGATCCCCCCGAGTCCCCCGCCCAGCCCTGCGCCGATGCCTGACAGCCCCATCCCCAGCGCGCCCGGAAGTGGCGACGATCCCATGTGCGCCGCGGCAGCCGCCATGTTCGCCGCGCCCAGCGACGGCAGCGCAGCTCCCGCGCCCGTGAGGCCGGAGGGGATGCTGATGCCCGTGCGCATGGACATGACCTGCGCGCGCTAAAAGGGGATTGCGGAGAGAAAGAGCGGAGCGGGAGAGGAAGGGGGAGAGGAAGGATGGGAGGAGAATGAGCGGCCAGGTAGAGTGAGTCCTACACATATCAACACAACATGTCACAGTATTAAAGATATATCATGCGGTGTGCACATGGCGGGGCACGAGGGGAAGGGTCGTTGGGGCACGGGGGGGGGAGGGTTGAGGGGGGTGGCGGAGGAGCAGAG